CCACATCATCAAAAAAATTAAAAAACAATGCCACATAAAATTATTTAACTGTCACGTCATACTTAACTGACGGAAGGACCAAAACTGTGCAATTTTTAGAGTCAAGGGATCAAAAAAATGCAAAAAAATTGTTAAGGGACCAAAAATGTGCATTTTGAAAAGTTGAGGGACTAAATTTAGCATTTAACCTTCTGTTTATTCATGTAAAGAACCTGTATGTATGAAGAACTTATATGTTTCCATCTTGTTCATCTTCAATCTGACCTCTGATTAAATGTGACAAAATTTCTCTTTTGTTGGCTTGCTTGTTACCTAGCAGCAAGATTTTTACCCGTTGGCTTGCTTGTTACCTGACAGCAAGATTTTTACCTGTTGGCTTGCTTGTTATCTGGCGGCAAGAATTTTAACTATCACCTCCTCATCATCTATCTTTCAATTGGTTTTTACTGTAGTTCTTACTATGGAAAATAATGGCTCTGCATCTGCTAGATAAGTTAGCTAATCATTGGCATTGCAATTAATGCTTGATATTTTAGTTTTTGGGCGAGGGTGATAAACCTTAGCTGAGATGGTGGAGCATTTGGTCTTTCTCTTACAGCAAGATAATTGTGAAATTAGTAATTCTTCAGTGGATTTTCATCCTTATTCATTCATCTATGCTCCTACTGCTACATATTACCATACTTTCTTTTATCTATGCTTCCTTACAAATTATAAATGACTTCTATTTTGCTTGCATTGATCCTTTTGTTACTCTAATGTTTTGGATCAGTTGATTATGAAATTGTTTCTCATAGGTGATTAGAATTCAATGTTTTGGTACATCCAGTAGGAAGGGATGTTTATTTCTCAGAAATATTAATCGACTGGAGTTTGGTGAACATTGACATTTTAAAAGATGAGAGAAAACAAAGCAAGAAAAAAACCTGGTGATGCAGCTGTTGTGCATTTGAACTTAAATTGTTACATTGCATGCTAAGTGTTCTCATTTTAGTGAAGAGATGATTAGGAAAGTCTAAATAATTTAAACTATGTCAGTTGAGAATTGTTGCATGTGTGAGGCAACATAGTTTTGGCTATTGGAATATGAGGGTAGATCTTCAGCCACTAATGTTGAACTGAACATCAAGTTTGTTGTAGGACACTCTTAAATATTTTAGAGTTGATGAAAGCTCGGGGAAAATAAATATAATTTGATTTATTTTAGTAGCTGTATGGTTTTTGACTATTGTTATTGCTTAATGATAATCATTTCTTTACCCTCTGCATCTCAAATAAATTCCTTATAATTATTGTTGTTCTCTATCTTCTCCTTAACAGGTGCACTTGACTGAGAGAGAAAGGCAGAAACTGCAGGTGTGGTCTCGAATTATGCCTTACAGAGAGTCCTTCGCCTGGGCTATTGTTCCTTTATTTGATAATAGCATTG